AACAGATTTCATATATTTTACATATACAGTTTTAGGAGCATAATGATAGCTCCCTCCTTCCCTCCCTCCCTCCGTTGTGCCTACCCTTCCTCCTTATTTTTCTTTTAATTTTTACAATAACATACTTAAAATTTTCTTTCTAATCACAAGCTTAAACATCCAGTAAGTCAGTGATTCAACAGGTAATAAGCAGAAAAACTGCTGTTCCTCAAAAATAGATAAAAGGGGTGACTAGAAAAGAAACCATCCCTGAAGAAGCTTAGACATTGGACTTAAAAGATAAAGACTTGGAAAAGAGCTAAAGGAAATCATGAACAATGTGTGAGCAAATAGAGTATATCTATAAAGAAAGAAATTATAAGAAACAAATAGAAATTCTGGAACTGTGAGACCTGCATTGTGGCATAGCAGGTAAAGCCACCGCTTGCTTGCAACACCAGCATCCCATATGGGTGCCAGTTCAAGACCCAGCTGCTCTACTTCCAATTAGCCCCCTGCTGATGCACCTGGGAAAGCAACAGAAGATGACTCAAGTACTTGGACCCCTGCACCCATGTGGAAGACCTAGAAGCTCCTGGCTTCTGGCTTCAGATCAGCCCGGCTCTGGCTGTTGCAGCCATTTGGGCAGTAAACCAGCAGATGGAAAATTTCTCTCTCTCTCTCTCTCTCTCTCTCTGTCTCTGTCTCTGTCTCTTCTGTCTCTCTGTGAGTGTGTGTGTGTGTCTTCCTTTCTCTGTGTTACTCTTTCAAATAAATAGATAAATCTTTTAAAACAATTCTGGAGCTGTAATGTACAATAGCTAAAATACAGAATTGTCTAGAGCACTACAATAGCTCTGAGCAAGTAGCAGAAAAGTTCAGTGAACTTGAAGGGAGTTAATCATTCAGTCTGAAGATGAAAAGAATTTTGAAAAATGAACAGAAGTTAAAATATGCCCTTAAATTTACCAACACATTCATGAAACAAATCCCAGAAAAAGAAAGAGTCAAAAGGAATCTACAGATAGCCACTAATAGCTAATAAAACAAATTCAGAAAAGTTACAGTGTATGGTATCAGCCAGCAAAAATCCATATTTCTATACACCATCTGTATTAAAGATTAATGCTCGGCCGGCACCGTGGCTCAATAGGCTAATCCTCCGCCTTGCGGTGCCGGCACACCGGGTTCTAGTCCCGGTCGGGGTGCCAGATTCTGTCCTGGTTGCCCCTCTTCCTGTCCAACTCTCTGCTGTGGCCTGGGAGTGCAGTGGAGGATGGCCCAAGTGCTTGGGCCCTGCACCCCATGGGAGACCAGGAGAAGCTCCTGGCTCCTGCCATCGGATCAGTGCGATGTGCCGGCCGCAACGCGCTGGCCGCAGCGGCCATTGGAAGGTGAACCAACGGCAAAAGGAAGACCTTTCTCTCTGTCTCTCTCTCATTGTCCACTCTGCCTGTCAAAAAAAAAAAAAAAAAAAGATTAATGCTAAGATGTCAGTACTACCCGAGCAATCTACAAATTGAACATAGCCCCTATTAGAATTCCAGAAGTCGTTTTAACAGAGATGGTGAGGTTTTCAAATTCATATAAAATTACAAGAAGTTCTGATAGCCACAGCAGTCTTCAAAAAGAACAAGATTGAAAGACTCATACGTTCCAACTTCATCACTTACCATAGAGCTACTGTCTATGTGTCAGCAGAACATGGAAACCCGCCCCCCTCCACCCTAAACTGAGAAGGAATCCTGAGGCTGAAAAATGAATAGAAGAGTTTGTTAAGACACTTAGCAAGATTCCAGGTAATCTGGCAGCTGCAACAAGGCTGTTCTCCATGTAGAACAGCAGAAGAAGCAAGATTTACACATTTACAAATCAGAAGCTAGGAGTAGGAATTTGTGTTACAACATTCCTTTACTCTGCTTTGGGATTAGCCCCTCCTCACCACCACCTCAACCCCCTGGGAGTCCTGCCAATCTTTTTAACTTGATCAGATAGTCTTCTGATAACACTTAAACCTTATGCCTGGTATGCCAAATGATTAGTTGTTTTCTTTTATAATTTAATATTTAAATAAAATATTTGGGGGAAACCTTGACTGTCAAAAGAAACAAAAATCAGCCGCAGCTCACTAGGCTAATCGTCCACCTGCGGCACCGGCACCCTGGGTTCTAGTGCCGCTGGGGCGCCTGGTTGCTCCTCTTCCAGTGCAGCTCTCCTCTGTGGCCCAGGAGGGCAGTGGAGGATGGCTCAAGTGCTTGGGCTCTACACCCACATGGGAGACCAGGAGGAAGCACCTGGCTCTTGGCTTTGGATCGGTGCAGCTCACTGGCCATAGCAGCCATTTGGGGGGTGAACCAATGGAAGGAAGACTTTTCTCTCTCTTTCTCTCTCTCTCTCTCTCTCTCTCTCTCTCTCTCTCTCTCTCTCTAACTCTGCATGTCCAAAAATCAATCACACTAGAAAAAATAAAACACATGCGTCTGACATGAGGGGACCAATAAATAGGCCGATGATCGGCATCTTGGGTGGGGGGCAGAATGTAGGGGTGAGATTCAAGGTGGCATTACTGTTCAGATGGAAAATATCTCCTTTACCCTTTCTGTTGCTCTGCCCATCAAACATAAAGAAATAATTCTCTAAGAAGATTTGTTTATTTGGAAGGTAGGCTAACAGAAAGAGAAAGATCCTACATCCACTGGTCCACTCTGTAAATGGCCTTAATAACTAGGGCTGGTCCATGCCAAACCCAGGAACCTGGAGCTCCTAGGTCTCCCACATGTGTGACAGGAGACCAAGTACTGGAACTATCTTCTCCCGACTTCTTAGGTTCCTTAGCAGGGAGTTAGATTGGAAGTAGAGCAGCTAAGACTCAAACCAGTGCTCTGACTGGGGATGTTGGTATTATAGGCAGTGGTGTAACCCACTGCACCACAACAACAGCCCAATTCTTATTTTTAAAAGGATTGATTTTATGGTATGTGAATTATATCTCAATAAAATTGTGTTTAAGAAAAGTAAAATAGAATTTATTAACTATAAGACACTAGAATTAAAAAAATAGTATTTAACAAAATGAAATTAATCTTTCACTAAATTCCATAATCATGGACTTTGAAAGATTAGTTTTTGCCAGAAACATGTGAATCAAGGGAAGTGATCACGGAACCGTATCTCCACAGCACTCCCCACCTCCTTTAATGAAATAACTGACCTTTTTAAAATGCTGTCGGAAACTATTTGCTTCTATTCTCAGAGTTCAGCTTTTTTTTTTTTTTAATTATTTGCACTAAGTGGGGATTTTTATCCTTTTTAAATGCTCAGTTATCATTCTAATGGCTTTCAGGTACTTTTAAAGAAGTGTGTTCATCTATGCTTGCTTATGTTTGTGCTTTCTCAGTGTGTAAGCGGCCCTCTCTAGATCCATGTTACCATGTGTAAGTGGAAGTCCTGGAATAATGTAAGCAACATAAATAGATCACATTTTCCCCTTTCCAGTTTCTCGCTCTCTCATCCCTGTCCTCTTCCTCTTCCTGGCCTTTCTTGTACTCCAAAATATAAAATGGGATTAAAGTTTAATACTTTTCTTTTTAATTAATCCCTTCCATAAGCATTTGTTGAGCACCTACTGTATATCAAGGCGTTATGCTAAAGTTAATGATACCGAAACAAAATCCCTGGTTCCAGACAAATTAAATAGTATCACTTAGAGCTACTCTAGAAACAGTTAAGGAGATACTTAACCCAGGTAAGAACATGCAGGCAGGACTTCCTTTTGCCAACAATCTAATGAGAAGATTGATCTTCCTTGAAGCCAGATCACATCTATTATGCATTTTTAGAAAATTTTTTAAAAGTGTATTTCCTGCTTGGCCTTGGCCCTTAACACATTCCATAATTATATGAAGCAAAAGAAAAAAATATTTTATTTTATTTATTTATTTATTTATTTGAAAGACAACTGCCATCCAGTGGTTCACTCCTCCAAATGCCTGCAACACATGCCAGGCAGAAGTCAGGAGCAGGGAGCTCAGTGCCTGTCTCCCACTTGAGTCGCAGGGATCCAGGTACTTGAGCCATCGCCTGCTTCCCTGGGAGCACATTACAGGAAGCCAAGACTCATACCCAGGGACTCCAATGTGAAATGCAGGCATCCCAAGTAGCACTTAACCACTAGACCAAACACCATCCCAGAAAAAAAAAATCATGACAAAAGTAGTGGGACTCTATACATAAACGTGTATAAGCCAAAAATACTTTTTAAAGTTAATATCAACACAGCAGTACAGGTGCAAGGACATTGGCTGAGAGTTTGGTTTCTGCTTCTTTGATTGCTTAACATGTTTAAGAAAATTTAAACCATCAGAGTTTTTAAGGGCTTTCCTTCCCTTAATAATGTGCTTATTAGATTTTTAAAAATCAGAAACTTAAATTACTGTTCTCATTGGTGTCTTTACTTTGCATTGCTTTCATTAGGATCAATTTTCAATTGATCTGTACTGGTATAGCCACATTGGTTGTCAAACATCAAAACTAGTCCTTTCTGTTGATAACGAGCTGCTCTGTCATCATAAGCTCTCTGGATGCCACTCCTCAGCCTGACCTCTCTCCCAGGAACTCCACCTCTGCATCTCCCCACAGTCCAACAATTAAAAGGTTATTGCCAGGCATAGCAAAAAGCCTTTAGGACCCTTCTCTTGCGCCCACACTGACTTCTTGTGCTGGGCTCTTGCCCAGTGTTTAATAATTTTGGGTATTTTCCTGATTTCTTTGACTGTTGAGAATAAATTTCTATTTTCTAGTATTTATGTTCTGCCATCCAGAGCATCAAATGACTAGTTCACCTGTGTAGCTTATCTGTGTAGAAACATCATTCAGAGTTACATCATTTTCCGAACAAGCCCAGAATACCATCACAGTATAATTCTGACAGTCTCCTAAGCCATATTGCTTGCTTTTTTCTCTGTTTCTCTCAGTGTTAGCAATTTGATGTAAGTTCTGTGTTCTCTTGTTATTCCTTTCAGTTCGCTTTGCACCTTATAGGCCTCCAGACATCTCCCTGAAGCCTCTGCTCTTTGAAGTGCCCAGCATCACCACTGAGTCCGTGTTTGTTGGCCGGGACTGGGTTTTCCATGAAATAGATGCTCAACTTCAAAGTTCAAATGCCAGCGTGAACCAAGGAGTAGTGATTGTGGGAAACATTGGGTTTGGGAAAACGGCCATCATCTCCAGACTAGTGGCACTCAGCTGCCACGGGACCCGGATGAGACAGATCGCCTCAGACAGCCCACACGCCTCCCCCAAACGTATGTATTCTTTTTTAAAGAACTCCTTACTTCACTGGCTCTGAAACATTTTCTGATATTTGTATTAGGTCATGTATTCTTTTATTTTCTGATGTTCAAAATCTGACTTGCATGGAAGGACCATAGATTCAGAGTTGAGAGAAAGAATGTAATACTGTTTATATCTAAGCCACAGATCCAACAGTCACCTAAGTGTGACTGAAAAACCCTTTCTTGGGGAATAAATTGATGATTCTTTCCTGCTGTCCATATGGCTGGTCTGTCCTCTGGGTAATGACTACAGCATTGCCTCTAGAACCATCTGCACCCACCACTGTGAGAGTTGGCTCAGCCTATGCCCAGATCTCCTTGTTACCTGCCAGCACGGGCTGTGTGCTGCCTTCATTTCTCTGCTGTTGACGTCAACATTGCACTTCTTAGACTGGAGCTTGACTGTGTCCTGAAGGGTCTCTCCTGCTTCCTTGTGAAAAGACGCTGAGCTCTCGTGTGTATTCAGGCCTCTTTCATCATAAACTGGGCGGAGCCTAATGATCACTACCAGGATCTTGTTTGTTTATTCTGAAAACATTCATGCGGTCCTTACTATGTGCTAGACACTCTCACAGTGCTGTCAAATAGTAACTATTCGACCCCTTTACAACTCAGTGAGGTTCCTGTATCCTCATTTCACAGGTAAGTAATCTGAGGCTCAGAGAGCTTGGGTAAACCTTGCAGGTTTTAAACCAAGCAGTCTGGCTCAGAGGCCATTCTCTTATCCATTTTGCTATGCTACCTCTCCTTGGTGAAGCAAGCTTCCTTCAGGTACAGAAAATAAGTGGACATGTGTACATATTCTGACTGTACACACTTTGTGCATGGAACCAGTACACATGGCTTCTGTTAGAAGAAAATAGAAAAGGAAACTATTGCTCTGCTAGCCCAAATCAGTAACCGAGGCCACCACAGACTTTCAGGCAGTGATCAGCAGACATGGTTTGTTTGAGATCATGGTAGTGGCCGGGCCTAACACAGTGATAGAAGCCTAACAGAAACTCAGTGGTTATCACCCAGATGTCTTGGCTTCCTATTGAAATTAGTTACCAGTCCTACATCATGAAGTGAGCAAATTGCCTCTGGTAAACTTAACAGATGTCTAACATGTGGAAGGAAAACTGATGTCTAAGAAGAAAACCATTTGAGTCAAAATACCCTCTTTACCCAGGGTATGGTAAGAATTGATAAGGAAGAATTTTTATTTTAAGAGGAATATCAGAGCCGGCGCTGTGGCTCAGCAGGTTAATGCCCTAGCCTGAAGCACTGGCATCCCATATGGGCGCCAGTTCTAGTCCCGGCTGCTCCTCTTCTGATCCAGCTCTCTGCTAATGGCCTGGGAAAGCAGTAAAAGATGACCGAAGTCCTTGGGCCCCTGCATCCATGTGGGAGACCCAGAAGAAGCTCCTGGCTCCTGGCTTTGGATCAGAGCAGCTCTGGCCATTGCGGCCATCTGAGGAGTGAATCAGCAGATGGAAGACCTCTCTCTCTTTCTCTACCTTTCTCTGTAACTCTTTCAAATAAATAAAATAAATCTTTAAAATAAAAAAGAGGACTATCTTGCTTAGTTTCTAAATCAAGTTCTTATGAGTCAGATTGACATAATATTGTGGGAGTTAATAGCCCAGAATTTTTGCCCCATCACTCAGATTATCTCTGCAGTACTTGGTGACTTTTGAGAGTTTAGTTTAATCCTTTCAATCTCAATTTTCTCATCTGTGAAATGAAGAATTAATTAATCTTTAAGAATTGCTTCTGTGCTAATGTTTTGATTCTCAGAATATGTCTTCATGATTGAAAAGAAATTTCTACACTTATTCCAGTGTTTTCCTTTGAGTGCTTAAAAACTGTCATGCGAAATACTTACTTAAGTACTCTAAGAAGTAACTGAGTGTGTGTAAAGAAAACCAGACAGCTAATAGTCTCTCTGGCTCCTCCATTTATCACTGTTGCAGATAAGAGTGATAAAATCATTCATGACAGAAGATAAATTGCAAGGGTAAGATGAGCTGCTTTCTCAGAAAGCAAGGGGATTTAGGGTCCCACAAAGGCCTGGAGAAGCAAGAGTTAATAGAAAACAGCCCAAGCACTCTCTAAAGCAGAGACCGTTTTTTCAAGCAGTTCATTAAATTATTCTCTTACATGTACTGCCTTTTATCTCCTGAGAATCTCCAGAGGCACTAGAACACTCCCCATTGGTGAGGTGAGCATCCATTGCTGAAACGCGAGATTTGACCTGATAACTTTCAAAAATTGAAAATGAGTCAAGGGAGATAAAGTATGAAATGGTTTTAAAACTTCTTGGAAACTTTGCATTTTATTTTTTTTTGGAAGGGGAGAGAAGCAGAGAAAGAGATCTCCCACCTGCTGATTTACTCCCAAAATGCCTGCAGTGGCCCGCAACTGAGGCCAAAGCCAAAATCTGGGTACTTAATTCAGTTCTCCCACATGGGTGGCAGGGACCCTACTGTTTGAGCCATCACCTGCTGCCTCCCAGTGGAAGCTAGAATCGGGAGCAGGGATGGGACTCAAACCCAGGCACCCTGTCAGGCAATGGGCATCCCCAGAAGTGTGCATTATCTTCTAATTTTATTTTTCCATGAACTTTTTGGAGCCCCCCGTATGTGTTTATTTACCTTTCAGAATTACACAAAACTAGTATTGTCTTATATAATTTTAATTACATTCTACTTCCACCATCTCAACAGAACCAGTCAGTAGTCCTTAAAGAAAAGTAAAGAATAAATGGCTGATAGACTGAAAGCTATTTTCTGGTATAAATCTAAATTGTTCCAATGTGAGCTGGCACTGAAAATGTTACTGGCCACAGCAGAATTTTTTTCATTAATGAATAAATATGATACCTGTATATAGAAGGATGAGTTAATTTTTTACAAAATTTAACTTATATTAAGCTTGGATAGTTTGTTTTTGTTTCTGTTTTTGTTTTTAGTTGTGCCGGCTTTTCTAATCCTTCCTTGGCCAGTGATACCAATGATTAGTTGCTATAATCAGGAAAATTGCTGGTGCTCCTGTCTTCTCTCTGCATCACCTGCCCCTGCCTCCCCCACAGTGAGCACTGCTGCCGCAGAAGACGGGAGCAGTCTGGCCTGCGGTCGTGCATTGCCTGCTCTCCTTCCCCCACAGACACGCAACCCCCCGCCAGCCCTTCCTTGTCCTTTTCCTGGGAATGTGCAGAGAAGCTGTCAGACAGTCACTAGCCTGTCATCCTGCTTTCCACCCACTCTCCCAAACCTGACTCCCCATCATTCACCACCACCACCGTCACCCACCCACCAGCACACATCCAGAGAACAAAAACGTTTTGTGAAGATGGGCCAGTTGCATAATTCAGACAATATTACATTAACTACAGATATACTCAGTACAGTAGTTGGAGAAGCTCTGTCAAATACAAGACCATATTTTCTTACCTCTAAAAGTCCCAGTGTAGTTATTTAGATTTGACATTTGCCAACAGCTGCCAAACCCCCAAGCAAACCCCACTCTCCCTGTACTACTCCTTTCAGAAGTCTGTTTTGCCATTTTTCTGTGCATAATATTTACTGCCTACCTATTAATTTTTATTTCTGTTGTTCTGTAAATTCCAAACAGAAAGCAAGACACACAGACAAAAAGGAAAGGGATTGCTAAAGAGATAGAGAGCGTTTGGACAATAATTACCCACAAAATCAAATACCAAATAAAAGGGAACGGAATTGAGGGGATAGTGTGAACAAGAGAAATAATACAGCAACAGACAGTCATAGAACTTTACCTCAACTCAAAGTATAAACATTTCTTCAGGCTTTTTCTCTACCCTCTACTCTACCCACTCCTCTGCAATCCTTCAGAATCCTATTGGGTGACCAGGGATCTGTTCCACCACTGGATAGAAGTCCAAATTAACTCATGTTGATAAGAAGTTAAATGAGGACTACCTTCTCCATTCCTTCTTTTTATAAATAGCTATTGACTATTAAATAACAACTTCAGATATTTATTGTGATACCCATTTTAAGGTATCATCTTATTCATAAATGAAGTCTCTAGTTTCTAATGATAAATAATAATAAATATTAAAATGTTAGAAACCATTTTTAAAAATTTAATAGCTTATTAAGCTATAATTAATATACCATATAATTTACCCACTTTACAGTGTTCAATTCAGCATTTTCAATATACCCACAGGATTGTACAGTATTCATCATACTTTGATTTTAGAGGGTCTCATCCTCCTTTTAAAAAAAAAAAAAAGATTTCTTTATTTGAGAGGTAGAATTACAGAGAGAGGGAGAGTCAGAGAGAGGTCTTCCATCCTCTGGGTCACTCCCCAGATGGCCAAAATGGCCAGTGCTGGGCCGATCTGAAGCCAGGAGCGAGGAGTTTCTTCCAGTTCTCCCACATAGGTGCAGGGGCCCAAGCACTTGAGCCATCTTCCACTGCTTTTCCAGGCCATTAGCAAGGAGCTGGATCAGAACTGGAGCATCTGGGACTCAAAATGCTACCCTTATGGGATGCTGGCATCACAGGCAGAGGCTTAACCTACCACACCACAGTGCCAGTCCTCTGATCTCATCCTCCTTAAAAAAAAAAAAAAGCCTATTAGTAGTAAATCATCATTCTCCCCCTCTTACCTAGAGAATCACTAATTTACTTTCTGTCTCTATGTATTCACCTATCCTGGGAATCACGTGAACAGAATCATACAACATATAATTTTTTAAATTAGTATAATATTTTTAAGAATCATCTATAGTAACATTTATCTATATCATTTCTTTTTATTGTCAAGTGAGTAGTAGTCCACTATATGGATATACTACATTTTATCCAGCTTTCAATGGATGTACATTTGAGTTATTTCCACTTTGAGGCTATTATGAGTCATGCTTCTATAAATATTTGTGTACAAGTTTTTGTATGGACCTGTGTTTTTATTTCTCTTGGATATACACCTAGGAGTGGAATTACTAGATCATAACAATTGGAATTAAATCTTCCTTTAGTTCAGAGTTTTATGATTATCTGATGCAAACATCTCATCTTTTTATTCAGATGTGGATGCCAACAGAGAGCTACCACTCACACAGCCACCTTCAGCCCACTCATCTATCACCAGTGGAAGCTGCCCAGGGACTCCAGAAATGCGCAGGCGACAGGAGGAGGCTATGCGAAGACTAGCCTCACAGGTACAATAGGAGTCCCTAGCTGGGGACACACTAGTTCTGTTTTCACATCAAGAAGGCAAAGGTAGGGAGACCCTTGACAAAGTGAACAAAAATATACAAAGGTAAAATATGTAAAGGTATATATCATGAAAACATGGAGAAAAGAATGTGGTATTTTGTTTGCTATTCCTATAATATTTTATGATTTAATCAGAACCTTAGAGTTGTAAAGGACCTTAGAAATAAAATCCTAAAGTGAATAGATAAGGAAGTTGAGAGTCAAGTATATGGTTGGTACTTAAAAATCACAGTATATGAAATCAGTGGTTTTTCATTTTAATTTTTAGGTCAAAACTCTTCCTGTTAAATTATATTGCCCACAATATTTTTATGCATTTGGGTTCAGATTTTCTGAGTTTTTTCCAAAGTATAAGGTATGCATATAAAAAATTAAATAATGCTCAAAACCAGCAGTTCACTTCCTCTTATTCTCTTCCCAAAGAAACAACTTTCAACTCTTAGGACAGTTTCTCAATGTTTACCTCTAATTTTGACCTCTGTATGTATAAATAATATTCATGTATTACTATAACCTTTTCATCCATTTACACAATATCTCTTGTTTCTTAATATGAATTATGAGAATTACAGCTCTACAGCTCTTTCACCTCGTTACTATCCCAAAACAGTTACATTATGATTTTTTTGTTAAATCCATGTTACATTATTTTTACTATTAATACTATGGAAATAGATTCCAATCTGGGAACAAGAATAATATTTCCTTCTTGAACAATGTTTTTTTGGGGGGGATGGACATAATGTCACAGGGAGTTAAGCCACCACTTAGGAAGCCCAAAGCCCACATCCCATATTGCAGTGCCAATTCAAGTCTCAGCACTTCTGTTTCTGATCCAGCTTCCTGCCAGTGAATCCTGGGAGAGAGTAGATGATGGTTCAACTGTTTGGGTCCCTGCCACACACGTGGGAGACCCAGGAGCTCAAGGTTTCTGGCTTTTCTCAAATGAATAAAATAAATTAAAAAAATTTTAAAAACCATAAGTTTCTTGAGACTTAATACTTCTAAAAGCATCTTTATTCTATGCACATTCTTTATTTATTTTTTTATTTTTATTTTTTGACAGGCAGATTTGACAGAGAGAGAGAGAGAGAAAGGTCTTCCTTTTTCCGTTGGTTTACCCCCCACCCCCCAAGTGGCCTCTAAGGCTGGTGTGTTGCAGCCAGCACGCTGCGCCGACCCAAAGCCAGGAGCCAGGTGCTTTTCCTGGTCTCCCATGCGGGTGCAGGGCCCAAGGACTTGAACCATCCTCCACTGCACTCCCTGGCCACAGCAGAGAGCTGGCCTGGAAGAGGAGCAACTGCAACAGAATCCGGCGCCCCAACCAGGACTAGAACCCGGGGTGCCGGTGTCGCATGAGGAGGATTAGCCAGCCTAGTGAGCCGTGGCGCCAGCCTCTATGCACATTCTTTACTGTTTGGTTGATATAGTGTATCATTCTAGGTTAAAAATTATTATCCCTTTAAATTTTTAAGGCATTGCTCTGTTTTCTTGAGCTTCCAATATTGCTATCAAATAATCTCTTAGCATTTATATTTTTAATCCTTTATGTGTCCCTTTTATTCTCTTTTTATTTTTTTAAAGATTTATTTATTCAAAAGTCAGAGTTACACAGAGAGAGGAGAGTCAGAGAGAGAGAGAGAGTGAGTGAGAGGTCTTCCATCCGATGGTTCACTCCTCAATTGGCCACAACTGCCAGAGCTGCGCCAATCTGGAGCCAGGAGCCAGGAGCTTCTTCTGAGTCTGCCATGCAGGTGCAGGGGCCCAAGGACTTGGGCCATTTTCTACTGCTTTCACAGGCCGTAGCAGGGAGCTGGATCAGAAGAGAAACAGCCAGGTCTCAAACTGGCGCCCATATGGGATGCCGGCACCTCAGGCCAGGGCGTTAACCCGCTGAGCCACAGTGCCAGCCCTTCTCTTTTTATTTTTTAAAAAATTATTTTATTTATTTGAAAGGCAGAGTTACAGAGAGAGGGAGAGATAGAGAGATACAGGTCTTCCATCCGCTGGTTCACTCCCCAAATGGCCAAAGTGCATGAGACTGGGAAGCCAGGAGCCAGGAGCTTCTTCCAGGTCTGCCACATGAGTATAGAGGCCCAAGTACGTGGTCCATCTTCCGCTGCTTTCCCAGGCACATTAGTATGGAGCTGGATTGGAAGCAGCCAGGACACAAACCAGCGCCCATCTGGGATGCCAGCATTGCAGGCAGCAGCTTAACCCCTTACACCACACCAGCAGCCCTCCCTTTTTCCCGTCTCCAGAAGCTTTCAGGTGCTTCTTTTTATCAAATTGTTCTAGGATATTTTTTCATTTATTCTGTTGGCTCTTAGCTAGCTCTGCAGATACTGTTTTAATTCTGGAAAATTTTTTATATTATTTGTTGTTAATTTCCTCACCACCATAACCTCTGTTCTCTCCATCTATAACTCCTATTAATCAAAAGTTATATTTCCTATACTGCTAGTCCAGTTTGTTTTTCTCTCCTATTTTCTATACTTTTGATTTTTTGTGTTTTTTTGATCCACCTTTGAGAGACTTCCTCAACATTATCTTCTAATCCTGTCATAAAATTTTTATTTCTATTATCACAGTTTTAAGTTACAGTAGCTCTTTCTCTTTCTCCAGTTATTCCTTTCTTTTTGTAATTTCCTGTCATCATTTTATAGGTGCAATGTGTTTTCCTTTCCTTAATGATTAGGCCGTGAAAAACTGAGCAGAAGCTTATGTGTGTGGAGAGTTTGACAACAGAGCATAAGGTTATCCAACCTTTATTGAAAATACCCAAAAGGCTGCGTCCTTAAGTTTTTTCCTGTTCTATTTATATTCTCTAACAAAGAGTCCTCCAGTATCTTGTCTAGGAATGTATTTTGGCTGTCTGCGTTCTAGACCTGGGCAAGAGCGGAGGGCTAGGGTTTCGTGATTCAGTCTGCAGACTTCGGAGCCCAGTGTTTGGTGCAGTAATTAGACACTGTCTGTGATGCCCACTTCCCCCATCAGAGGACCCAGTCTCAACTTGCAGCTCTGCTTTCGATTCCAGCTTCCTATTGATGCATATCCTGGGAAGCAGCAGGGAGGACTGAAGTGCTTGGGTCCCTGCCGCCCACAAGAGATCTGATTGAATTCCAGGTTCCTGGCCCACTCCCAGCTAGCTGTTATAGGCATTTGGGGAGTGAAGATCTCTGTTTTTCTCTGTGTCTCTGATTTTCAAACTTTTTTTTAAAAAAAAAAAAAGCAGTATGCAGTCTTTACTTAAGTTCCTTGTTTCAGCCCTGCACCTGATCCTGATCCCCACCCTACTCTCTATGTGATGTTCCTGTATCTATATTCTCTCTTGCTAGTTTCTCTAGTAAATATAATTCTCCATCCTGTGAGCATAGGAGAAGGTGGTCACCTGCTTGGGCAGAGTGGCTGGCAGTGTGGGAATCCAACTTCTCCTTCTACAGATTTCACATAAACTGTGTTTCTACCTCCCTTCCTCACCCTCATCTTCCGCAGTACCTAATGCTTCGAATTCTTAAGCTTTTCTGAAGTTTTACAGGTGGCTTATATATCACAAAGTTCTAATTTCTTCATAGAAATACAATCTAGCCCAAAGCCAGAAGCAGTTTATTTCCTCCAGCTACATTACTAATTAAGCCCACTCATTTGTACACACTCATCTGTAGATAGGTTTTTGAAGACAGTCTGAGATCTCCTTCCTATCCTTACTAACTCACTAGCTTCTAGCATCATAGATACATAGTTACTAACTCAGTAGCTTCTAGCATCATAGATACATAGTTACTAACTTAGAGCATATGGTTAAGCGGCTCCTAGTCCAGAACTGAAGATACATCAGTGAACAGAACAAACAGGCCCCTGCTGCTGTGTAGCCCGCAGTGGTGCTGTGCTCTTGTGGTGCTAGGACAATAAACAAACAAATGTGTAGTGTGTCAACTGGGGCTAAGATCACAAAGAATTAAGTCTCCCCCACATTGTAATATCTTAGTCTCCCTCTCATCAAGAGATGTCCCAAGATATTTATGGTCAATATTTGAAAAATGTTAAAGAATGTAAGTAGGGAATAATGACTGTTTACACTTAGTTGAGGAGTAATCACATCCTTTTATCTTTTAAAGATTTACTTATTTATTTGAAAGGCAGATTTAGAGAGAGAAATAAATCTTTCATCCATTTATTCATTCCTTTGATCCAACTAAAGCCTGGAGCTTGGAACTCCATCTGGGTCTCCCATGTACTTGGGCCATCTTCCTCTGCTTTCTCCACGTATAAGGGCCATCTTCAACTGCTTTCCCAGGTATCTTAGCAGGGAGTTGTATGGGATGTGGAGCAGCTGGGACTCGAACTGGCATTGCAAGCAGCAGCTTAACCTGCTGTGCCATAATGCCAGCCCCTGATCACATCTTGAGTTTCATAATTGTGTCTTCCTTAAGCAAAATATAAATCTTGGCATGGTGTGTTTTTAAGCTTGTACTAAATATTGTATAAGAAGTAGCCCTTTACATTAAAATTCCATATATTCCCAGTAATTGTGCCACATGTTACAGTTCAGCTATGTGCTGAGGAAGTGTAAAACAGAGCCCAGCAACCTTCTTTCTCATCTAAAAAAATTAAAGCAGTAAGCAGAAATTATCTTTTTAAGTGAGATTTTTAAATCAGTTACTATTTAGGTGAGATATGCTAATAAATAAGAATTTTAAACATCCTTGAAAAATCTTCACTCTGACAAAGTTCTGAGTGTCAGCTCTTGTATATTAGTAATTACTACTGGTCTTTCATAATTCTTGCTACTTCCTGTGCTTCTACTTAACTGAGACACTGAAGAATTTTTGCCACAGCTTTAGAACACTTTTATTTATTTATCAAAGAAACATTTTCCACTTGAAGTAGCAAGTTTTTGCTAGATGAGCAACTCTCAGGAGTATCTCCAGTTAACAATTCA